ATTCTACGATAGTTTCAATATCCTGTTTAGTATAAATCATTGTTTCTGGATCATAAGCTCCCTTTTCACTTAATTCCGGATAAACTTCGCTTTTAACGGGCCAGCTATTTGCATCGACAATGTGCCAATGAAATACGTTAAACTTATTCCAACTCATAACATCCAACATTTTTAATAGATCATTAACAGGATAATAATTTCGTGCGGTATCCAATAACAGACCACGATGAGAAAATTTAGGGTAATCACTAATATAATGAGGAGCAAAAGGTAAAAACAAATCTTTTTTCTCTTTATTAAAATAAATTAATTGTGTAAATGTATTAAGACCATGTAAAATTCCAAATATTGTTGGAGCTTTAAGATGAGCGATCAAAGGTTTATCTTTCTCATAAGGAATCATTAATTCATAAGATTCATCAATACCAAAATCCAATTTTGATGATTTATCACCTGTGACCTCGATGGTCAAAGAATGTAACGTCACTGAATTCTCGGGGGTTTCAAAATGAACATTTGGTGAAACATAATTTTCATCGACCAAAAATTCTTTAACCCGATTTTTTGCTCCCTCAAAAATTTGTTGAGTTAATTCTTCGGAAGTTTCAATATTTGCACAATTTATATTAAGACTTGGAAATACTCTCAATGTTTCGCTTCCTTTCGACCAGCTTTGTGGTATTGGCCACATTGCTAATATTTGACTATTAAATAAAATGCAAAGAAATAATATATAGGTAAGGTATAACCTTACAAAACCCATTATGATAAAAATTTTTTTTTACGAGTCCACTTACTAAGTTTAAACGTAAAAAAAAATTCTGTTTTTCCGGAATGTTGAAAAAAACGTAATTTTATATCTTTATATCAAGTAGTAGTAATTACACTACATAGCCCTCTTTGTACAGCCTTCAACATTAAGCAGCTTGCCAATCAATTTCCAAACTATTTTTATCCGTGTAATCAAATTAATTTAATTATTGATATTATAATATTACGATTGGTAACAATGACTATGATCTATAAATAACATAATCTATTAATATCTACAATTAGTCTCGTTTTTTGTAAAAAGGTTAGATATGTGGCTTTTATGTAATGTAAATGATGTAAAATGAAAATTTTATGCTGTTTATGATGAATTTCATTTATTAAAATCTGAATTTTGCATCCCAAATATTGCTACAACCATTAGTGAAAATTATATTATTACTACCAAGAAAAAAAAAATATTATTATTAAAATCCATTGTGTAAATTATTTATATTTTGCTCAACCAATCCATAACCCTTGCTCTCTTTTCAACAATCTCAGCCCCCACAACAACATTATCATTCGTCAAATCAATAACGTCAATCTCCTCTTTATTCACTTCATCAAATGGACGTTTGTTATTTTCTTTCTCGATTTTAACTGTACCAATTTGTTTAATTTTGTCGCGACCATGTTCATTTTTGATTTCACCCTTGATACTTTTGTTAAGTTTCATTTGATTAGCAACCTTTTCACTATTAAATGTTATATTTGGTAAACTGTAACGAGTCGGAATTTGTACTTGAACGTTTCGAATTGCAAACCAAGATTCTGGTCGATAATGAAGGTGTAGAGCCGCTATTGGAGTAGTGCTTGCTTTAACCATATCATAATATCCAACATATTTGCGAATGCTTTGTTGAGGTACAAAAGCAGTAGTGCATTCAATTTCAAATGATTTCTTATTCTCCGTCATCTTTACTTGTTGAATATCGGATGTAGTTGTAATGGAATTTCGTCTTGAAACAGAACGACTTTTATAAAAATAAATAGAAATGATCCCAACCCCACCTCGAGAATTAGGAGTCTTTATAGTAGTTTTCAATGAATCATTATAAATCGAGTTAGAAAACATAAACTCGAGTTTCTTATCTCTCGTTACGTTCATAAAACAATCTTGGATTTGAATTGTACGAGATTTTAAACCACGATACGTATTATCAAATTGTCCATCAATAAGCGTTTCAGCCATTATTGGATTATTTGAAGTTGCTTTTGTTGAGAAATATCTTAACTTGAACTTTCTTCCAGGTTCTGCCACAATATATGTATTAAAATCACTATTTATGATTAAAGTGTTATGTGAAGTAGAAGAAAGGATTTTAGCAATAAGAATTTTCGTATGGCCAATATTACATTATTTATTCTATTTACCTAAAACATGGTTGATCAAGGTTTTCCTGAAGTGTGTAAGACTTTCCAGTCATCGTTACCTTTATAGAAATAAAAACGAACAGACTTTTTATAACATCAATGAATTTTACTCTTAATGCTTGACACTTGTTTATATACTTACATTTGTTATACTGTCAGGTAAAGTATATTCGGCGAGAGGCATTTCGTCCACTAACACTTCAAGAGAAAACCCGTTTAAAAGCATATTCGAAAAAAAAGCAAGGTAAAAAAAAAATTGGTAAAGAAATTAAACCTTTAGAAAATATGGATCAAAAGGCATTTTATACATTTTTTAGATAAAAGATTGTGGAACTTCAGATTGACGCGTAGAAATTACCGGTTATTGAAAATTATTTTATCCGATCATGATTACGTGTAATCAATTTTTCGCGCACGTTTCCAAGATTTAAGAAATCTATAACGTTCATATTGACGCGTCACAAGTAGTCACGTGATATCTGATGAACATAACGCGTTAGAACAATAAATTTATGCTTATAAATTTATTTTACTAAATTATAATTAATATAACAAATAAAAATATAACTATCATAATAATTATAACTACAAAATATTTAGATTTTATAATAATATTATTATATTGTTACCGGCTAAAAATTCAGTAACATTGAAAAAAAAAGTCACTTGGATTTAATCTGCATAATTTCTGATCTGGCTGATTTTTAATATCTCTGATTTTTCTGATTCTTAGGATATTTCTGATTTTGCTAATCAGCCTGATAAATCTGATACAGCTGATTTTTAATATATACTAGGGAACAGGGATTATTGCTAAGTTTGAAGCAAGTAACCAATTCACATATCAACTTATTTTTTGAGTGGAAGGAATGCAGGTCAATGCATATCTAACTAATAATATCTCTATTACTCTTTATATTATGTATAATTATTATTTCATATATTCATTTATTTAAGATATTTATTATTTTTTATTATAAAATTAGTTAGTATCATTAGAAATATTAGTAATAGTAATGCAAATCATTATAAATAAGATGTTCTTTAATGATGTAAAAATTAAGGCTATAGCAATCCTAAAAATATCAACAGCTCTAATGTTAATAACAATGTAAGTTTTCTATAAGTTAAAAAGTTTTATTACACAGCGATAGTTCATAATTCAGGTATCAGGTGATATATAAAACTGTATGATTTTCATAAGAATTTTATTGTGACTGAAGTTATGTGGATATATTTACTAGTATAAATATAAATCTGGTTGATTGATTCATCAATCAATGTTAATCATGCCTAAATATTGCAGGTGTTAGAACAAGTAGATACAAATAAAAGCTAAAATAATAAAAACTTGTCTTTGCTGATTGGTCTATAATAGATACAATCTTACGTCTTATATTGCAAGACTCTTATACAAATAAGATTAACCCAAAATTTAGGAGATTATATCAATGGTAATAATAAACTATATTGTACGTTGCAGCATCATCTAATCAAATATATTATTAAATTTGAAGTTAAGTTCAATTTCTAAGACGTTTGTTAATATAGTTAAATCATTTTCTACTGATTCACCATTTAGCAAATCTTATGATAATTATCTCATAAACCTTATAAAATTAGTTTGTATAAAAAATAACTCTAGCAAGGATTATGGTATAATAGATCTCTCAATCTAATGTGATATGTAATTCCTGAATGGTTAGTAATCTTAGAAGATAATTTTCAAAGGCTTAAATACAATATAAATATAGTAAAATCTAAGACTCAATCAAATTTGTAAAGTTTGTCTATAAAATAAGCTTATATTGAGCATCTGAATGGATAATTGTGATACATTAAGGGTTATTGTCACTATTCTGATACTATCATGATAAATAAATAAAAAATATAAACTAAAATTTAATATAAGAATTAATGTTAAATATAAACTTTCATGTTTTTTATTTAGAATTTAATATAATATCATATATTGTATTATAAATTTTAGTTAATTAGTCATAAAGTTCCTATTATTTTGTAAATAAAAATAAAGATGTATATTATCAGTTCAAGAAGTCAAGTTTTTTAAAATACCTATAAAATAAAAATTTTTTAAAAACAGAAACTTTGCAAAAGATTTTGTTATATATTATGAATAACATTAACCAAGTTTTTGATAAAAAACAAAGGATTTAGATATAATTTAATAAAATAAAAGTGAATTATTATAACATGAGGAATTAGAGTAAAATTTTCATACTAATAATATAAATTAATATATAAAATTATATTAATTTAATGAATTTATAAATTATATTTATAAAGATATATTAATATAAAATTAATTATTATAAAAATTTTTTATATATTAAGTATTTAATTGTCTAAAATATAAATATAAAATATTATCAATAAATCATATATATTTTATTATTTAAGTAAAATAAAGTATAATATTAATTATATCATATAAATCATATAATAAAGAATGAAATATAAAAATAAAGATTTATCATGAAATTTTAATAATAATAATAATCCTAATAGCCTAAAATCCTAATAATATAATCAATATAATCTTGATAATTTATAATACTAATACTTAAAAGTTTATATTTTCAACTTGACTAGAATTCTGATAATCATAAAATTTGATAAGCATAAATTCTGATAAATAAATAATAAAGATAATCAAAAAAATCAAATGAAAGTTTTATAAAGCATATGTTTTTATATTTAACTAATTCTAATCCTAACCCTAATATATATCTTAATTTTAAATCCTAATTCTAACTTTAATCTATATTCTAATTCTATATTCTAATACTAACTCTAATATATATCAGAAACTTGATTATCAGGATTTGGATTTTGTTTATTAGCTTTATTAACCATTGGGATTATGCCCTATAAAAATTTTTGTGTGTTAGATTTTTGGATTTATCAGATTATGCTATCAGGATTCTAAACATCAGGATTATAATTGACAGATTTTAGAAAATCCAAAATAAATATTTCTTATTAGAAGTTGTAATAAATTATCTTATAATAGAAATATAATTATAGTTTATAAAGTTAATTATCAGAATTAGTATTATATGTAATATAGTAGTATACAATAGTAGCAAATATAATAAATCATAAAAAGATATTTTATTATAATTAGAGTATTAGTAATTGTTGCTTTATTTTATACATTTTAGTTTTAGAACAATCCAGAAAATATAAATAAGACAATTGAGATTTTTAGCAAAAGATAGCAGATAGTTCTTAGAATATAACATAAAGTATTTGTAATAATGATTATGTAGGAGCTTGTCAAATTAAAATTTTACTTCATATACTAAATATGATTTTTTAGTAAAATAAGTTCAGATTTAACATTAGCTTATAAAATAAATTTTTTTAGATTTCCATCTTTTCTATTGATAAGCTCCCATGTATATAAATTATATAATTCTATAATCCTTTAATAAGATACTTTTTTCAATTTATAATAAATACATTAAATACATTTCCTCTATTTCCTTATGATCTTTACGCGTAACCTACTTGTGTGTGGCTTTGTAATGGTTTATTAAGTAATTGAATCGCCATGTGATTCAACTTCTAAGGTTGTATTGATTATACATCTTTGATGATTCAGAATATTTGATAAAGTAGATTTAATGCCATTAAAATTCACGCGAATTGTTATATTGCACGATAAATTAGATAAATTAGATAAACTTGTTGATGATGTGTTGTGTTATAAAGAGTTATTTAAGAGTCCACAGATAAAATCTACTTCGGATCCGATTGTACCAAGGAGCAATCTTAAAATTTAATAATGCTGATTACAATTTTATTTTACTTCACAAAATAAATAATAAATATATTTGCGTAAAATTGCAAATTTTATTACGTGTAACATAAGTTCGATATTAGTTAAAATCTTTATAATGTAACAGCCGGCAAAGTAAATTAAAATGAGTAATTTCAAGGGACTATATAATGTTAATTATTTCGATATTTTTCATGATACTGTACCATAATGCAAGGATATCACGAATTTGTTTATGAAGAAATTTGCGCGTTGGAGTTGATCAGATTTTGGATTTTCCAAATAAAACAAAAATGTTCCGAGAAGAAATATATTTTCGGATTCATAATGTTTTAATGTTTAGCAGTTTAATTGCACACGGTGAAGGTGTTCACCAATTTAAAGATCGAGTCTTTATTTGTTAATATATAAATTATATAAATTTCATTAAGAATTTGAAATTAAAAAATAAAATTTGACTTTGAAATATTATGAAAACAGTAAACCAACATAAAATGTTAAATTTGTGTAAATCGGCAATGGCTGTATAAAGTTATTTCATTATTTTGCTTAATAAGGTATTAATAAGTTTAAATATAAATTTATTCATCTTGCATGAATGACAGAAGCACATCTTCAGCCCAAAGAGAGAAAATTCTGTTCAGAAAAAAATCTATTTAAAAATAATAACCGTGCCAAATATATTTTGAACCGTGTAAAAATAAAACTGATTATGCACCATCATACAGTCGATTACCATTGTTTAAAGCCATGTTGCATGACTATAACAAGAAAACAACTTTGTCATGCAATGCCATGTGGCTATATAAAATTCATATAAATTTATCTTCGATAAAAAAAAAAAAAGTTAACAAAAAAAAAAAAATAAGAATATGGGAAAGTTTTTACTGCTGTATTTAATTCTGTTAAACCTTTCAAATTATTACGTATTTTATTAAAAGACCAAAATGATTAACATTATTATGACATCAAGTTTCTCAAAGAATTCGTTACCACTATGAATTTCTTGACATAATAATTGATTAAAAAAAATCCTTAAAAAAAATAAAAGGAGCAATTGAATTTCAAATATTTGAAAGTGTTTTTTTTTTTAAAAAAAAGAATTCTTCGAAGGAATATCTCGATCATTATTAATTTGGAACTATCACTCCTCTGTTCCGTAATGTATTTGTGTAGGTTATTTGGCTTACCTAAATTTTTATTTCGTCTTAATCGAATTTATTAAGTTAAACTAGACCATTTGACCGAATATACGACGATTTGATGATTGTGACATAATTAATGCCTTATCTGGCGCTATATAGTGGGCTATCCCTCCTATCGAAATACAAAGCAAATCTACCACAGCAATTCCTTAAAAATATCAGCAGTTAACCGAGGCTGATGGACGTGAATGCAAAATTATTAAAAAAAAAAAATAACGATGCCTACCGACGGTTGTCAGAAATACTACCAGAATGACAATGATTATCCATATTAGTTTTGTGTTTTATGAGGGAGCTTCAAATTGCAGTTCATTACTGGGTACAATGAATCAATTAGTGGCAAAAGTAAACAAAGGTTTGACCTTCAACGACTCCGAATTCCGATTACAAAACTCTAACGATTGAAATTCTAAATTTGTAAATATTTTTACATATGGATTTTAAAACCTTTTCTTGTTAAAAAGGAAGGCAGGTTCGATTTATCGAAAATTATAAAATTAATTTATGCATGTCTTAATTACACGAAAGCATTTGGAAGTTGCAATTGGACTAATTGTTATGATTCATGAATAATTTTTCTGGTTTGATAGGCTAGCTAGGTTAGCATTTATTGACATGTGCCAATTTGTGGTAATCGAAAATTTAATGGTTGCAATATTTAGACATTGTTAATGTTGAGTAACGTTACGTTTAATGTAAAGATCTGAAATGGTTTTTTTTTATTTTTCTCGTTATATATTATTATATATTTTTTTTTATTCACATTGATATGGAAGGTAAAAAAAAAAGAACGTGCAAAGCATTTTAATTATTGTTTCAAAAAAAATAAATTGCCCCTTACATTATTGTATTGTGCAAAATAGAAAATTTGTTCTCATTACATAAAACAAAAAAAAAAGAAGGAAATAAAATACTTTTTACAAAAAAAAAAAAAAAATTTTTCTTATCATAAGACCTATGTGCTTTCATATCATTAAAATATTAACGTTAAATATAAAAAATATAATCCGAACTAATGTACATACTTTTTTTAGGGTATCGAAAAAAGAAAAAAAAATCAAAAACTCCGAAACTATCAGCCCTTTTTTTTGGTTTTCTTTTTTTGAATAGAAATCGTATAATACAAAAATTAAAATTATTAGATCTACAAAAAACTTCCCATAATAATCATTTTTTTTTTGCAAAGAACCTATAATGTACAAAATTTGCTTTATTCAAATTGCACTCTCTTTCAAATTCTTCAACCAACTCGTTATACTCCTCATCAGTACATTCAATTACTTTACTCAACATAGGTTTCAAAGCATGCAATGTTTGTGAAAAATCTTGACTTGCTAATTCACCTATTCTTCCCGCCCAATTGCCAATCGGACCAGATTTTGTTTCGTATGATAAAGTTGTTATAGTTGGCGTGGAAGATAGGATAGAATAAAGGCATTTTGTTATATTCGGATTAATTTGCTTGGATACTAGTATCGATCGGTCTGATTAGACGAGAAAGTGAAGAAAAGCATGATTAGTATCAGTTAATATCAGGAACAATTTTTTTTTATTAGGAATCAATTAACTTACATGCATCCATCACTTTTTTTCCAGCTGGACCTTCAGGATTGAAACCCATATCGCCCTCCATAAATTCCACCCATCCACCAGGTTTACACACCCGGATCAATTCTTTTACGACTTTATTTTGCCAATCGTCCACCGTGAAAGCGGTTATCATGAATCTTATATATACAAAATCAAAGGTGTTATCTGCGAATGGTAAACCTTCTAAGACATTTGCCGTGTCGAATGATAAATTCCGCGGTTTGATATCACCAGGGTATATGGGAGATATGTCAATGCCCGTGAATGAACTTTGAGGATAATTTGTCGACATCTCTAGTAACCATGTTCCAGGACCGCAACTAAAAGGGAGGAGAAAAAAAGAAACGTTTGAGCAAAATTTTTTTTACACGAAGAATATTATTTTTTTTTTTTGCTATTTTCTTCACTTACCCAACATCTAACACTTTTACGCCCCCTTGATCAAAAAGGTCTTTGATTGGCGCAGAAAAATTACTTTTCCAAATATATCTGAATAAGAAATGCTGTAATTGAAGTCTATCAACTAATGGAGGGAAATAAATAAGGAATTGAAAAATGTTTATTTTGTGAGCATACACTAAAACGCTCTAGCAGCATACCATACGAATTTCACACTAACCTTCTTCATTGTCATTTGGTAAGAAGTATATTGAATTTTCATTATTATGAAACCTTCTACCATTAATATAGCGAAACGGATGAGAATATTTTTTTGTTGTTGAGGTTTCCAAACTTTTACATGAATTGTTCGAAATTATATGATTTCTCGAATGTATTTGACCCATTGATATAAAAATGGAGAGGAGAAATTTATAAGATAAGAAGGAAAAGGGAAAGGACAGGATACTTCATTTTTATTTGAATTTCAGGTAAGATCGGCACAAATACAGATGGTTTTTTTGTAATAATACAATGAAGCCCAAGTATTAAAATTTGGAAATTTTTCGAAGAATTTTTTTTAGTATATGGTCTCTGTTTATTTTATTAAAATATTTTGTTTGTTTAACGAAGAGAACTAACTATATTTCAATCTTCATTTATTTAAGAGAACAGGATTTAATGACAGCGTTAGGGACCTTGCATGATCCCGCGTGAACATGCTTGTTTATTTTGAAACGAACGAGAAGAGTTACGTCTAATGGAAAATGGAAAGTCAATATGGTAATATGTTTAAAGTGAAGTCAAATAGTACACCTGATCTTTTTCAACGGAATGCAGGTAAAGACAATGATGATCCAAAATCCTTAAAAATATTAATGCATAAGTGATACAATTATGAATTAATAAAAAAAATTCCAAAATTACAGATACTTTTACTCTATTTTATTTACTAACATAACATATTTGGTTATTATGACAATGAATTATTGACATAAACTTGAACCATACGTTTGATAAAGATTTATAAAATTTCTATCTTTAATGAGCCCCGTAACTCGAAAACCCGTAATTCTTGGCAAGTTCAATATTTGATAAATCAGTAAGCGAATTTTCTTAATCTGAGGGAAACAAAATATACATGGTGTTTTATTCAACACTCCTTAAACTTAAATTTTTTTAAAACAATAAATATACGTCGCTTTTTCCAAGTCTTCTATGACAGACAACATTCTTATTTGTTATCTATCAAATTAAAATGTTACAATCGTTCTGTTATATTTTGTTCATGTCGAGGTTTATTTTCTATTCATAGAATTTTACTAGTTCGCATCTTTGATTTCGGGATTCCAATATGGTTACACGAAAATTATCCTATGAACATGATCTTTGTTTTATTCTTAAAAAAAAAAGGAACAAATAAATAAACTATCAACTATCTGACGTGATATGAGAAATCCTTTTTTAAACAATACAATACAATACATTTGATTGTTAATTTATTTTTGAAAGATTGATGGGACGGATAATTACATCCCGAGTTTACATCAATTTTTTGATTTTGCAAAATTTTCACATCATTTGTTACATTCAATACTTCGTATCTCTTCTTTCCAGTAGTGTAACACTATAATAAATTTTTATTTAATTCTTTCGTTCTTTAGTTCTTAAATGTTTATTCAAACCTGAATTTATCTAATTTGCCACTTTTTCAGACAATAGATATTCCATGAGAATAGCCAAGATAAAAAATATAATGAACGTTTTCACATTGTGTTTATTCTTAAAGGATTATGTTTGTTTTAATTTGTACAAAAACACAAAAACATGAAGCACAAATCAGTTTTTTTTTTTTCAAGATGACAATTGTTATTGATGATGGATCAACAAAATAATATTTTATGCATTAACTTTAAATCTTTTTTTTAACTTTACTAAAAGTGATTGATAAATAATTATCTCAAGTTCTGGTCTGCAAGAATTCAATTCGTCTTTAACTATCTGACCATCCAATTTTGTTAATAAATAATTTATCTCCAAATGAAAATATTTTTAATATATCGGAAAGACTAATTCTTATGTTATGCAAATCGTTTAAAATAGGTTCAAAACGTCCTTATCAAAGGTAACCTATAAATTAACCGAATTCGGTTCGCACATGAATATGATCATTCAACAGAACCCCGTGTATGCCAGGAAATTCGATGGTACTTCGTCAACAAAGGCCCCCGTAACACAGAGTCTTCGGAAAGATGTATCATAATGAAGTCGATTATGGAATGTTGATCTTATACATTATTGACGGTATATTGTGTTGTGTTAATAACGAAACCAATAATATTTACCGATTCTATTTATAAAGAAAAAAAAAAGCAATTTTGCGATAAAATTACAAGATAGTTAAAGGAATAGCGGATTTTTCTTTCATATGAAAAAAATTCTAATTTTCATCGGCAAAATTCTATTCGATTAGTATTTACTAAATGTAATCAAAAAAAAAGGAAAAAAAAATAAGGAAATACAACAGAATGCATAAAAAATTTATAATTAATCACAAAAATCACAATGATGACAATCATTGTCTTTTTGGATTTCATTGTTTGGTAGTTTCCCCTATCCTATATATTATATATATATATATATATATTAGTTTCTTTTTTGGGTCGAATCGGGCCAAAAATAAAATCAAGATACAGTATTATTGTGTCATAATAAATTATTTTTTTCGGTCATAACAAATTTAGATTTCATAAGATAATTTGTAAATTCGCATCGAAAGCATGCCTGATTATTAAGAGGCTCGCATTATACATGAAATAGAAATTAAATGAAAGCTCATAAGTTGAAATATTTCGACCTTACAAGTTAAAGTCAAAATGGTCGAAATCGACGCCATCATATAAGCTAATTTATTATATACAGTATAAAAATCTAAAACAAAAAGAAATGTACAATCTCGGTCAAGTTACTTCGTTTCTCATGAAATACCATCATTTGATTTTTTGCGATTATACAAATCAAATGCGCTAAATTTCAACGATTTTGCATCAGTCAATCTCGAGATAATCGCTCGAATCATTTTAAATAGAATTTGTATTATACTGTAACTGTAACTCCGGTTGATAATTCCATCGCGAATTTCTCGAGATTGACTGATGCAAAATCGTTGAAATTTAGCTCATTGGATTCAGATATTCGAAATAGATTAATTTTGGTTTCATGTATAACCAGAACCGAAAGATCCGCCAAAGTCGCAAAAAGAACCTTTAGCCTCGGATTATGAGATTAGTTTTAGTTGTTTACAACTTTATTTTCGCGTAAGTCATGAAAGGACGTTTACGTTAAGATCAATCAGAATTGTATATTACAATAACAAATTCTTTATATCCTTAACATTAAACTTTCGTATAGAATTTGTAATATTTAATTAAATTTTAAGAATAAACAAGTTATTTATAAATTAAATTTATTGTCAATTGATTCAATCATGAAATTTATTTTCAAATTTGCCTTTTAAATAAAATAATCTGTTAAATAATCTCATCTCTATTATAAATACAAATAAAGGTCTTTGATTTTAAGGTGAATAAAAAAATATATGCCAATTTGATTCGCATGTATTTGAATATTGTACGTTTGATTCACAATCTATATATGTATTCATTAATATTTTAAATCGCAATAAATAAAAAATTAAAATTTTTTTTGTTCAGAAGAGTTAATTAATTGTTCATTTAATATTCAAATATGCGGGTTGGTAAATGTCCTGATTAATTTTTAAAAAATTATTAGTTGTAAAGATTAAATTCTTTTAAAGATTATCATTATAATCAATTTTTTAATTAAAGTTACTTATTAAAATAAGTTTAAATTTCATTTTAAAATTTAAAATATCTTTAAATTTTATAAGTCCTAGGATCAGAAGTATATTTCTAATTTTTAAAGAATTTTTTTATTATAAATTAATAAAATAATTTATGTATAATAATTATTAAAAAATTTAATTAATAGTATATAAATTAAAATTATCTTTAAATTCTTTAAGACCAATAGGACTTTTACCAACCCTACATATGGGTAGTGTGCTATTAAAATTGAGGTACGGATCATATGATTTACTATGTCTTGTACCTCATTTTTAATAGCATACCACCCACCCATTTTACCTAAAAAAAAAAAAATAAAAAAAAATAATTACTATAACTCTGATAGCGAATTGAATTAACATTAATATGAGCACACATGGATTTTTCATAAAAAAATAAACAACTGTTCTTTATTTTTTGTTTTCTTGTTTTAGAGCGGTAAAGGCATCCGGGTTGTATAATGCACATCCTATACAAGGGATTAATTTGGTAGTAAAATTGACAGTTGTGGAAGTTAGAGATGTTTCTTTTTAGTTAACATTTTTGATTTTATTACATAAACTTTAGATAATAAATTCATACGCGTATAACTTGAAGAATAATTTATATTTTATTCAAATACTATTGTTATATCAAAAAATTTAAAAGAATTAAATTATAAAAATTTGTTTATTCGGTTATTTATTTTTATTATAAATATATAAAATATGTCTCTTACTTTTTGAAAACTCAATTACATGTCAAAAAAAATCAGATAACTGTTATGTGTAACTATAAAGTGCGCGTCTTGTTTATTTCTCACGATTTTCTCTAATCAATAAACTTTTTTGCAATTTGGTGATTAGAATGACAGGACCTTACATCAATTCATACTTTATTGAAATACCACCTAAAGAGTGAAAATTTGTCGATTTTTACAAGTATCGCCAGCAAGAAAATGACTTTACCAATTCGTTTCAAAAAGAAGCTTTTATTCTTAAGAGATCTCTTGAATACCTTTTGAAGACAGCACATTAAAAGCTAAGAATCATGTTGCTCTTTTGAATAACAAATATAAGGCAAGTAACACCTGTTGGTAAAGACTTAAATACTTGTTTGAAGTACTCTCTATGACTAAAAGAAGTGTCTTCATATCACTTTTTGATAATCTTCATGTTCGTTGTATAGAGTGTTTTATAAAACTTGTATGACTAAAAGAGAAGTCTTCGTGTCATCCCTTTGATGATCTTCATGTTCAACATATAATTTTTATAGATACAATAAACTCACATAGCTATGGAAAATATCTTCGTATTGTTTTCCTGATGAACTTTATGCTCGCTATGATTTACAAAATTAAAAAGATTTCTAGCATTATGGTCAAACTGATGCTTATCTACTTGTAATTAATGTTTATTTACTTATACGTTGAAAGCATCATCTTACCAATGACATAGGTTCGAAATTATTCTGGGACGAGATTGAATCATGATTAGCATTTGATATCGAAATTGAAAAAAGGAGGATGAAATGCAATTGGCAGAGGTTTGTAACATTTATAT